GTCTCCTCCTGTCCCCCAGCTCCCTCGGCCCTAGAGGACCTTCAGGCAGGACCTTGGGGTGAGAGATCCGGGAGGAGGGCTTACCTCCAGGGGCCTGGGCTGCCTTCTGGGCCTCTCCCAGCTGGCCCTGGAGCTAGGCAGGTGACAACTTGTCCTGAGGCGTGGGGGCTGGCTCCAAGCGCTTTCCAAATTCTGCAGAATTCTGAGATTCTGGGCTGCTTCTCCTTGGTCCTGGAGGATGTTAGAGGAAGGCGGGAAGCGCAGCTTACCTGGCTCCTGTGTGCCCGACGCTGTGCCAGGCACCGCGGACACCCAGATGATAAAAGACCGGCCCTGCCTTCGAGGACCTTTCACCCTGCTCCTCGGGAAGGGCCCCCTCCGGGCCCGACCTCCAACACTGTAGTCTCTCCAGAATGGATTCCCCATTCAAATGCTCGCTGAGACAACACCACTCACACTGGGATAGTTGGGTAAAATGCCCATCTCGACCACACCCTGGGAGTGTGATTGTCTGCATTCTACATATCAGGAAACTGAGGCACCGAGCAGTGGAATGAATTGTCCAGGGTCGCACAGCAAATCAGTGCAAGCCGCACTTCAAATCCAGCCCTCTCTCCAGAATGAGGTGAGGATAGAGACATGTTAACTGCCTTCCATGGCACCCTGGTGGTCTATTCCAGTCCAGGCCTTCCTGCCTGTGCTCCCCTCTGTCTCCCACGGTTCCATGCAGATGACTCCGGGGTCTCCATGTCCCCCACCCTCAGTCTCTCTCCCAAGCTCCAGCCCCGCATCAGCAGGGGCCTTCCTACTGTCTGACAATCAGGGGGCAATACTTGAGGCTGCAGATAAAGACCATCCTGTTAGAAGGAGGCCGAGCCAGCTGTCCCTCGGGAGGCAGTCTCCCCTCCCCTGCCTGTCAGCCGTTTCTGGGGCCCACTCACCCTCAGAGGCTTTCTTCATCTGCTGCTTGCTGCTAGTTAGCACCTCGAACTCTGAAATGAAATCCCATAGGTGTGGCTTTTGTCATCATCAAGCATTGATTAAGCCCTCACTGTTTGTTAGGCACTATACTGTAAGTTCTGGGATTACAAAGAGAGGTCCCCAAAACAGTCCCTGCTGTCTAGGAGCTCACCCTCTAACATGACTGTTTTGGGGTCTGGCTTTACCGTTCTTGCTCAGTCACTGAATTGGGGTTTGATGGCGATCGTGGAATTCCAAGCCTTGATGGAATGCTTCCTCCTGCCTCCTGGGCCAGGACCACCTCGGTCAGCCTTGCTTGTTTTCAGGAGAGTCCTCTGCCTGCTGACGGCCTTCCTGGTGCCAGGGCACGGGCACATAGACCCTCTGTGGCCAAGCAGGACCAGAAGAATTCCTCCTCCATGAGACAGGCCTATCAGCTTCTAGAGTTTGTCTTCCACAAATCCACTCTGCACACCACATGACTAATAAAACTCTTGAGGAGGCCAGGCCCTTCTAAGGGTGGAGGCCCTTCAAAATGAACCTTGGTTTTTTAAATAACAAGGCTTGGAGTCTGTGCACAGTCAGCTTGCCCCATACTGGAGAGACACAATGGTATTCTGTGTCAAGAACTTGGATTCAAATTGTGTGTCTGAGGCTTCCTGGCTGGTGACCCTGGGCAGGTGACTCACCTCTCTGGGCCTCAGTTTCCTCCTCTGCCAGATGAAGAGGTTAGCCTTGATGCCCTTCCTGGAGTTGTGAACTTCATGGCATCAGAAAGCTGAGCCGCGTGTGGAGCCCGGGGCCTTTGCTCCTTCCCAGACTGTCATCATCAGCATGTCTCTGGGCCCCCTCTGTTCTGGGAAGGCGGCCCCCCTGAGCCCAGGCATCAGAGGGGGCATCAGTCTGTGTCCTCTGCTGTGAAGTGATTTGGATATTCAGACACAAGACACAGCCTGGACCACAAATTTTCCTTTCTAGGTCTTAAAGCAGGAAGACTGAGTCAGAGTAACAGCAGAACACTCCAGACAGTCTGTCCAATCCAACCCGGTCCTTAACGGAAGCCCATTCTCCTACAAGCCCAACTAGTGGCATCCAGCCTCAATGGGAAGGCCCCCAGTGAGAGGAGGCCTCCCTCCAAGTCTGCCCAGCCCCTCCCCTCGGACAGATGTACTTGTTGGGAATGGTCTTTACCTGTCACATGAGCTTACCTTCTTCCTCTCCCTTCCTAGCTCTGGCGTCTGCACACCACAGAGGCAGAGAGTCCTTGGAACCCCCGGCTCTCCACTTTACTCCTTGCGGGATGTAGGCACGCCCCCTTATGTCAGGTCTCTGGCCTTAGCTTGCTCATCTGTAAAATGAAAGGTTGGACCTTGTCAGCTTTAAATCAATGATCCCATGGCGTCCTAGTCTCTTCCACATGCTAGCTTTTCAAATGCTTTCCTGGGATCTCTCTAGCATTTACAAAGGGCTTTACCGCATTAGCTCCAAACCCCATCTTGATTCCAGCACCCTCCCTCTGGCAGGCACCTCGTAATTATCCTGCACACAGCCTGCTCTGTATCTGTTTGTCTACCCGTTGCCTCCTCCGTGCAATTGTAAGCTCCTCAAGGGCAGGCCTGTGCTTGCCTTTCTTTGTGTCCCCAGTGCTGAGCACAGTGCCCCGCACATAGGAGGGGCTAGCTCTTGTGATGGTGGTGGTGGTCGTTATCAGTAACTGGCTGCTGTATCAGAAATGAGAGTGCAAGCAAAAAGACTCCAACCGAGAGATGGGCCTTGTGAGTTCTCTCTTCACTGGTGATGATTGCCGGTGATCCCTGGTGGTGGTGATGGTGATGGTGATGACCAGGGAAAGAAATGTGGTCAGCCTCCATCAGGGTGGGGAGAGAAGCCTCACACCCTTCCCACCTGAACTGCTGTGAGGACATGGCTGGCTCTTCCTTCTGGATTCTTTTCTTTGATCTTTTCTGATTTTGAATCAAGAAGACTGGAGAAAGAATGAACTGGAGGCCTTTGAAAGGGTGGAAGAGCCACCAGAGGCCCAGCCCAGGAAGGAGCCAGCCCAGCGGTGGATTGAGCTGGCAACCAATACCACCCGTGCTTTGGGCACAGGAGCCCCTGGTCCACTGGCTCTGCCACGTGCAGAAGTGGCCTTCCCAGAGCCAGGGAGAGGGCAGAGCACACCCCCAGGGAGGAGGGTGGTTCTACTCTGATTCTTTTCAGTAAATATCCCTTGGAAAAAGCGAATGGCTGTAAAGTGTTTATCAGTGATCTCAGGGAGATAGCAATCCTTAAGAGATATGAAAGGTCTAAGTGCCCAAGACGATTTTGTGGAGTCGCCCTCCAGAGGGGAGGCCGAGACAGTAACATGAAGAGCCCCTGCCTCCAGGGGCCCTCGGACCCTGACTGGGAGACTAGCCCTACTGCTGCTGGGGGACAAGTCCAGAAGGGGTCGGCAGAACAGGGCTGGGGGCAAAGCACCAGAGCAATGCCACCCGCCTCCTTCTGGACTCCAGGCCTTTGTGGACGCTGGCCAGATGACATTTGCTTTCTTAGCTGTCTCCCTTTGAGATCACAGCCTCTCAGATCCCCGGGTCTGGTTCAGGCAAACCTGATCGCGGATCTCCGAGCAGAGATTCAGGGGCAGCAGAGATCTTAAACAGGAGAGGAGCTATTGTCAATGATTGAGCCCAGCACGGAAAACAGTGGGGAACACAGAAGGCTGGCGGCTCAGCTCCGCTTTTCTCTTCCATGTCCTGCGATAAGTCTTTCTGGGGCTTATTCTCCTGAGTCGTGCTTTGATAATAACACCTTTTCCATAGGTGTGTCAGCTGTTCCTTATCCATTATCTAGGTGGGCAGAAGAGGCAAGGGCTCCCTTCCCCAGGAAGGTCCGGCCCAGGCGGCCCAAGCCCCTCACAGTCCTGGAAGATCAGTCACCCCTTGGAAGTTCCCTCCCCTTGGGTCCTCTCCCTCTGCCTGGAGGGGAGTGCTCCCCCAGAACCTTCCCTTAGGGAGGGTGCGCTGGCCAGCCGTCATCCCTCCCTTCACACTTGTCGTGTGGATCCTGACCCCCTGCCGGGGACCTTCCCTGCGCCCTTCTCAGCTTCCTTCTGTATGGGAGTTGCATGAGGGCAGGTCTGTCTTCTGCCTTTCTTTGTGTCCCCGGCACTTAGCACAGTGCCTGGCACATGCCAGGCCTTAATAAATGTTTATTGACCAACTGATTGACTCTTTTTTTTTTTTTTTTAAAGGAAACTCTCCCCTTCACCTGCACGGTACTATAGGCGATCGTCTGGAGGAGGTAGCAGCAGACATTTTGTCGTCCAGCGCTGGGGGTGGGGTGAGAGCATATCTGCACCATCCATCCCCGTAGGGAGGTGCTGAGGTCCTGGGAAGGTCCTCCCCGCCCTGCCCTACCCCAGTGAACCTGTGATTTCTGGAATCGACAGTGAATGAGTGCGTCCCCCTTCCGGGCAGGTGTTTCTGCTCCCGAGGGCAGCCTCCCTGTTAGCCCCCCATGCTCAGGGAACCTCTGGGAGAACGCCTTCTCTGTGGGGATGGAGCAGGAAGGAGCAGGTCCCTTTGGGACTGCTCGGAGCTTTCTGAAGCTTTCCCTGCCAGTGGCCCCTTTTGCCCTAGCTCTTCCCTTCCTGGCCAGCCCCTCTTCCTCCCAACGGCCGTTCGGACACTTGAGGTGGCTCCTGGGCGGCCCTGAGCCATCGCTTCTCCAGGCTGGCCACCTCCAGTTCCTTTGCTAGATGCCCTCAAGGCCCCAGTCCTTGGGCCTCTGGATGCTCTCCAGATGTGGTCTGACCTGGGCCGTTGATTCCGGGACTGCAGCCTCCTGGTTCCTGGAAGCTCAGGCTCTCAAGGCAGCCCAGATCTCATTAGCTTTTCTAGCTGCCATATCACATTCCCTGTTTTTAGGGAGATTGCAGTCCTCTAAGACTTTACATTTATCCCTCTTAAAGGCCATCTGATTCAACTCAGTGGGTCAAGGTCTCTTTGGATTGTCCCTCTGTCATCCAGTGGCTACCGGAGCCTGCTGCTGGGTCCTCTGCCGAGGCCAGGTGCCATCATTGTGCTTAGAGTCCCGGGGCCCGAGTTTGAATCCTTGTTCTGCCCCTACTCCCCCAACTTGTGTTACTTTGGGCAAGTCTCTGACCTGTCTGGTCTTTAGTTTCCTGACTTATAAAATGGAGGGCTTGTATTTAGATACCGCCTCCCCCACACCCCAGACCACTACCCCCACCACCAAGGGCTCCTCGAGCTCCAGGATCCTACGATCCCAAGAACAATTGGAGAAGGGTTCTGTCATTGTCTTCATCTGGGCCGTGGGCAAACATGTCAGGTCAGCATGGGCAGTACAGTGCCAAGCACAGATCCCCAAGACATTCCCCCAGAGACCTATGGCCAAGGTGCATTAAGCAAAAACAAAGATTCTTTTAGCTTAGCCATTCAGCCGGGCAGAAACCCTCTCTCCTGACCGTCTGCAGAGTGGAGGAGATGCTTCACCAAAGCTTTGCTCAAGTCCACACCAACAATAGCAGTATTCTCCTGACTTACCAGTTCAGTGACCCCATGCAAAGAGGGCCTGAGGTCAGGCTGGCATAACCTGGTCTCCATGACGTCACACAGGCCCTCAGTCGTCTCGAGTCCCTTTTCTGTATGGCCCCTCACCATCCTGTCATCCGCTGCTTTAGTATTTGCTGAGAAGTCGAAGCCACACTGCCCAGCCTGGTCTCTGCAGGCTCTCTTCCTCCTGCTAAAAGTTGGGATGACCGTGGCCTTCCCCCATGCTGCATATGATGCCTCTGTCCTGCAGTCCAAGGCCTAAGCCCTGCCCTCCCTCCCATGGGCAGGCTACTTGGGTGTTGGGTGCTCTGGGGCCAGGTGACTTCCCAGGCGCCTTGTAAACACGTCTCTAAGCGCGTCACCTATTATTGTGCCCGAGAAGGGAGAGGTCTGATTATCTTGGGTGCCATTTCTTCTCTCGGTTTGCTCACACAGCTTCATCCGACAAATTGAATTGGATTGTTAAAGCGTTCTTGTTCAGTCTCCTGGAAGCCACAGACATCCCCTGGAGATTAGATTTTGGTGAAATGCAGCACACTCAGGATCCCCAAAGAACTAAGAGGAGGATGGGGGAAGGGCAGCACACCTTTCATAGACTTGGGAGCAGGCCAGAAAAATGTCCAGATACCCAGCCATGAGGTGGGAGATGAGGAGAGCGAGCTTGGCTTTTACCATCAAATCAGCAATCCCTCAGATTAGACGGTGCTGATAAATATTCAAGATCAGAGGAAAGAGATTATGAGAAGCATCACAGAAGTCCTGGGTTCAACTCCCAAGCCTCAGTTTCCTCTTCTGTCTTTGTATCCCCAGCACATAGCACAGATCCTTGAACCTAGGAACTTAATCAATTCCTGCTGATTGATTGATTGGCTGATTTGGTAAAATGGCTTTCAAACTAGCTGCCTTAGATGAGAGAATGGCTCCAGGGCCCTTTGCAGCCCCAGAAAAGCTCAAGGAATGCAGGCTGTGATCTTTATCAGGACCCATTTCCAGTGGACATTCAGCTCCAGTTTTCCAGAAGGCATAATACTTGAGCAATTTCAAAGAAGACGCTTTGGCCGTCCTAACATAAATGCCATCCTCAGCCAGGCATGCTCACACACGCTCATTGCATGCATACGTTTACACACAGCTCCTCCGTCCCCAGATGGTGAGCTCACACCTAAGGGTGTCAGAGAAGCTGAGATCTTTCAGAGAGCTCGGCACCTTTCCTGGGTGTGATGAAGGTGGCGTACCCCCTAGAGAATCCCACTTCCCAGGAGGGAACCTGCGCCCCCTGGATTCAAAGGTCCCCAGATTGCCCTACCATTTTCCCTTAATTGTGAGCAATCCCTCAGTCCTACCTAAGCTTTCAGTCCGCTCTTGGACTGAGTCCTCACAGGGTGCAGGGGCTGATGTTCTCAGGGCTGGTTGGGTCCATTCTTCAGGTGTGCCCCTTCCCGTGTTGTCTGAGACGCTCATCTGTCTTCTGCTCTCAGGCCAGATGGGGTTGGGATGAGCTTTTGGAGGGCTGTCTCCTCTTCCAGATTATCTCAGATGTCCCTCTTCTCTCAGGAGGGTCTTCCGCCCCTCAGCAGCCTGGCAATTCTCACTAATCGTTATGAGCAATGTGCCTGGTGCTCTACTTGCTTTCTGAGAACTATGCCAGATCCAACCTGCAATTGCAGAAATGGCAAAGCAGTCCATTGGACTGGGGATGGGTTTGGACTTGGGGCTAGTTCAGTTCTGTACAGCTACTATTGTGATTTTCCTGAAATACAAGTCTGACCAGGTTACTTCTCTCCTCAAGAAGCTTACGTGGCTCCCTATCCCTCGAGGAGCAACTCTCCTATTCAGCATCTAGAGCCTTTCACCACCTGGTGCCAACCTGCCTTTCTAGCCTTATTACTGCACACTAATCTGTGCACAGTGCACAGAGAAGACTGGTTCAAACCCAGCCTCAGATACTTAATAGTTTTGTGACCTTTGGCAAATCCCTTAACCTCTTATTGCCTCAGTTTACTCATCTGTAAAATGGAGATAATAACAGCACCTACCTCCCAGAGTTGTCGTGAGAACCAAATGGGACAATAATTGTAAAAAATAAAACTTAAAGAGCTATATAAATACCAGTTGTTATTCTTACTGTTATGCTATGGTCCAGCCAAACTGGTCTTCTGGCTGCTCCATGGTCATCCAACTCCATTTTCCCCTCTTTCCTCTAGCTGCCCCCAGCCCCCACTCTTGGAACGCTCACCTTGTGACTTGGGTTTCCTTCAAGGTTCAGCTCAGGCTCTGCCTTTGCCATGAAGCCTTTCCTGAGCTCCCAGCTCCTCAGTGTCCCCGCCCCATTATCTTACATCCCTCTTCTATCCATATATGCCCAGGTTGTTTTCCCTGCTCAGCTACAAAGGGCAGAGATGGTCTCATGTTTGTCTTTGAAGGTCCCCAGCACCTGGAACGTAATGGTCACTTAATAAATGCTTGTTGATCGGTTGATTGATTAAAGTGTTTGCTTAGCCAGCTCTCACTCTGGGCACGGCCCAGTTGTCTCCTTAGCTGCTTTCTGGAAAATGGGACCGTGACGCCGGCACAAGGGGCCTCCTGAGGTATTGATGGGAAAACATTTTACAGACTGCAAGACATCATCTACATGGACTTATTGTAGCCCGTTAATATGACACTTCAGTGCCTTCGGGCGGCTATAACGTTTCATCGTCAGTTCACTAGCACCACATTGGCTTGGCTTAGATTGGCTGTCGTCAGATCCGCTTGAAGCTCTTGCCTGTGAGATGCTACATGCTACGGCGGCTCTCTTCATGCAGAGCCTTCCTGTCCCATTGGTTCTCAATGGCACTTCCCATAGTGATGGTGGCAGGGAAGTCCATAGGACTTTCACTGGAGGGAAGAGAAAAACTGAGGAAGGAAGTTGGAGTGCCAGAGGCATGGAAGGAAGCCAGAGCATGGTTAAGAAATTACGTGATGATGACGTCCTAAGAACTAGGAGGAGGCCTTTGGATAGCACCCCTGGACACTGCCTAGAGTCTATGCTTAGCTCCTGACTTTCTCCTATAGACCCCAAACTGTGTAGCCTTGTCACATTGCTAGTAGAATGGAAGCTCCTTGAGGGCAGAAATTGCTTTGGGTTTGTCATTGTCTCTCTAGCTCCTGGTAGAGTGCCCAGGACACAGTAAGTTCATATTAAAATTTGCTTGAATTGCCAACTTTACTTGGTAATTTCTCTATTTTCTGGTGAGATAGTCTCAACCCTCCCCGACCTAGGGCTTTTTGGAAAACAACCAATATCATCAGCCTTCTATCCTTTTTTTATGGAAACCCCATAAAGATGGTGATTTTCTTTTCTTTTTTTTTTTTTTTTGCCAAACAGATTCCTTAATACTCCTGTGCCCCTCCCTGCTCAATGCTAGAGACTAGTCTTAAAGGGCAGCCCCCTATGGGTAGTAACTCAGACTTTGGGGACCAGGATCCTTCATCTTTTTGCTAAAGCCATGATATGGTGGTATTGTGCCTCATCATGGCACTGAACAAGGTGGGGGTAGGGATGGGGATGGGATCAGGTATCCTTGTGGGCTCTGTTGGATGGGCTTTGAGGACAGACTTGGTGAGGGACCATGTGTAAGATTCAAGGGGGTCAGCACCAGTGGCCCATAGCATGTTGGACTTTGGGACTGCAGGAACTCTCAAAAACCATCTGACAGAGGACTCCAGATTAGCCTCAGCCCTGAAAGCCCTGGACCCTGAAACTAGAGACATGAGAATGGGGTGAAACAAAGGAGTGAGTCACTCTCATCCTATTTCTCAAGCCTTGTTAGAAGGAGGCGCTAGTCTAGGATTTATGCAAAGCGTATATGACTCTTACAAGGTGTAATTTGTAGCACCCAGTGATTTAGGAGTTGGGTCATTGTAGGAGTACTTTATGGCAAGTCTTTATTTTTTAAATGAAATGAATTACTTCAATTTTATTTTGCGATTTTTACAACGTAATGTCCAACGGGACATTAATTCTCCAAAAGCTTACTATGTGAAGAGGAACACCAAGTTTCACTAAGAAATACATCAGACGTAAAGTCAGCCCCCTTTGGATTGCATCCAAGGGTAACGACAGTCAATAAGCATTTATTAAGCACCTACTATGTGCCAGGTATTGGGGTAAGCATTGAAGGTACAAAGACAAAAAAGAAAGTCTCCCTCTCTTAAGAAGCACTCCCTGTTTATATGTGTATGTGTATATGCCCACATATATACACCCATTTTCTGGCCTGGAGTCAGAAAGACCTGAGTTCAAATCTGGCTTCTGAAATGTCCTGTGTGACCCTGGGCAAGTCATTTCACTTCTCTTTTCCTTAGTTTCCTCACCTGTAAAATGGGAATAATAATATCCAAATGTTAGGTAGTATATACACATGCATGTATGTATGTATGCGTGTGAGTGTGTGTGTGTGTATATTTATAATATACATATATATGATATATATACATACATATACGCAGTATGTATGTGTATACCTATGATGTCTGTATATATGACTATAAAATATAATGTCTGTCTATAAAATATAATGTCGGTCTATCTAATGTGTGTACATAAAAGTAGAGGCAAACTATAGAAAAATCAATATAGAAATGTAATTGTGCCAAGGGAGGCACTAAGGTACAAAAGCAGCAATACTCCCTCTCTTTCCATTTTTCCCTTCCCGTCCCCAGTGCCCAGCACATGGTAGGTGCTTAGGTTCATTGACTGACTGGTTGATTAGAAGGCGATTGCACTCCTGAAGCCTACCCCGAGGTAAACTCAGACACAGTGTGTGGCCAGCACAGGTCACTGCAACAGACATGTCCTCCCACAGAGAGACCACCACCTGTCCACAGGTGGGCATGATGAGGAAGTTGAGGCTCCCTGACCCTCCCGCTCTCGGTCTGATTTCACTTAGCTGTTTTCTTTGGGGAAAGCAAAGCAAAACAAGCCTGTGGCTGCTGCTGACCTCCAGCTCCAACACCTCTCGTTCTGCACATCCATTTCCACGTGAAGAAGACAGGCTATGAAAACAGGCAATTAGCGTGTTTGCTCACGCTGCCCAGAGAGTCTGCTCTGGGTTTTTAAGTTCCGTTTAATTTATTCCCAGAACTTCCAGGAAGAAAAGGAGAAGCCAGCCTCGCTCCCTCGTCCTCCCCTAATCCTCCAGTCAGGGGCAAGGAAGGTTGGCGTCTGGAGCTGTGTCTATACAGAATAAATTAGAAGGGGAGTCAGTGCAAATCAACGCATTTTGTTCAATCCAAGGCTATCAGAGAGGAAGGTCACCAGCAATCTGGGCAGGTCAGGG